CATGAAGCGATACGACTAAATGTGCAATGCTTCTATTGAATTCCAGAATGCCGCCCGGGTCAATGAATCGGATCGAGTGAATGTGCAATGCTTCTATTAAATTCCAGAAAGCCGCACGGGTCAATGAATCGGATCGAGTGAATGTGCAAGACATCAGTGACTCTGCCATTGTTTAACACGAAGAAACTAAATACCGTTCGTGATTATCTTCACATTCTCTTCAAGGCTGTGCACTCTTGATTGAAGCTTTTATCGCTTGCAGTTCACAAGTTATTACACTCTTGTGTAAAATTTGTAGTTGACGGCTAGTTGCCATGGCAACCATGGTCAGACAGATATGCAAAGGTGAAAAAGATGCATTTTTTGACGCTAGGACTGGCCCTAAATAACTTAAGATAATCTGTTTTCTTTCGACCATAAAATCCCAGGGCATTCCCTTTGTCTTCTGACTATGACCTAAAAATTAGTCAGAGAAAGAAAAGGAAAAGATTTCCCATTACCCAAGAAATTATTCTACCAATTCATTGGTTAAAATCTGTAATTCCGCCTCGAGTAAACCAAGTTACTAACTAGACAAAATTGCTTTCTTCATAACTCTTATAAACTGTAGAGAAAATTGTTGTAATCCTTTAATCTTTTCAGTCATCTAAGTCTCCTGAGCTGTTTAAAGTAATTAGATTTTTTTCACAAAATCTAGTCATTTTCAAAGGTATATATAAAAATACACTTGAAATTCCTTTACAAAAAATTATCGTAAATTGATTTATAAATACTTTGTAACATTTCTATATTATGTTGTGAAAGTATAATTATTCTGAAAAGGATATTACAGAAATTAAGAAATAAGGTAGAAAAATCTTGAGAGTAATATATATATATAACATCAGTTGTGATAATGATGATCGAGTTTCTCTTAACTTGAAACACCAGAAGACACAACTTTTACAGTTGAAAGACAGTATGTATAGTTTACTTCTACATAAGAATCGTTAAACAATCTAATATAAACATGTTTTTTTTAACTTAGGAAACTTTTTCTCCCTATACCCTCGACACCGGAAACTCATCAGCATCAACAAAAGATACACAGGGAAAACCAACAAAGAATTCAACCTCCGTCACGACTGGAATTCTCTTTTAAGTCATGACGAACGTTTACTCGTCAAGCATTACTCCAAGGATTTTTATCCTCACGTAAGCTACTTGAAACATAATATAGGTCTCAAAACTTATTAAACCTACACTTGAGTTGATTCTGCTTTCAGGGGTGTTTCTTGAGTACATTGTTGTTGTGTTTAGATTATGATTATTGTTCAAGTTGATAAGGAATTTTTTCACAACGTAAACTATGTACAAGAGCATTAAAAACAACATAATTGCTTAAAAAACAGAAGATGGAACACAGAGCTCCAAACCCCGTCAGTGTTAAGGGTCTCTTGGCAGTTGCAGTCTACAAACAACGCTCTGATAAGTTTAAAAATATTGTTGTTTAAAGTTATTTTATATTGTTAAGTTATAGAATATACAGTCATTAGACTTCGGTTTTTTAACTTATCATGTATGTTTTAAAGTAATTTGTATTCATAAATATAACTTTTAAACAAAAAGAAAATATGTGATTCTCTCGAACGTCTAGTGGTTGATAAAGGAGTAGAAATAGAGCGTGAGGCTTAGATAAGCGTATTTAACATGTTTATAAATGGTAATTGTGAAAAAGTAACAAAGATGTTAATGAACACAGACTTTGTGGAAATATAAGTAGTGTTGTTAACTTGAATGTGCCTAAAACAATTTAATGCGAACACAAAATAAACAGCAGGGAAAATAATTTTGGTGGACGATAGCTGTGAAAGAGGATTTGATCATAAAATATGCTTCCAAAGAGTAAATTGTTAAAGACTGAAAGTATGCATAGGTTAATCAAGAAAGAGATAAATGGTGAGCTGTTAAGTCAAGCAAGTAACTAGTATGTTACTTGGTAATGAATCTATTGTAACCATCAGGTTTGGATCAAATAGTACATCAAAGTCACCGTTCCTTGGTAATGAGTATATGGTAACCATCAGGTTTGGACTAAGAGGTACATCAAAGCCACCGTTCCTTGGTAATGAGTATATGGTAACCATCAGGTTTGGACTAAGAAGTACATCAAAGCGACTGTTCCTTGGTAATGAATCTATGGTAACCATCAGGTTTGGATCAAGTAGTACATTAAAGTCACTGTTCCTTGGTAATGAGTATATGGTAACCATCAGGTTTGGACTAAGAAGTACATCAAAGCCACTGTTCCTTGGTAATGAATCTATGGTAACCATCAGGTTTGGGTCAAGTAGTACATTAAGTCACTGTTCCTTGGTAATGAGTTTGCAATAACCGTCCAGGTTTGGATCAAGTAGTACATCAAAATCACTGTCACTTGGTAACGAGTACGTGGTAACCATCCAGGTTGAGATCAACTACTACACCAAAATCATTGTTATTTAGTAACGAGTACGGGGTAATCATCCAGATTTGGATCAAGTAGTGCATCAAAATCACTGTCATTTGGTGACGAGTATATATCAGGTTTGGATCAAGTAGTACATCAAAATCATTGTCACTTGGTAACGAGTATATATCAGGTTTGCATCAAGTAGTACATCAAAATCATTGTCACTTGGTAACGAGTATATATCAGGTTTGGATCAAGTAGTACATCAAAATCATTGTCACTTGGTAACGAGTATATATCAGGTTTGCATCAAGTAGTACATCAAAATCATTGTCACTTGGTAACGAGTATATATCAGGTTTGATCAAGTAGTACATCAAAATCAATTGTCACTTGGTAACGA